CGGCGGCGCCTCGGGGCTGCTGCGCGCGGACGCGGACGCGCCGGCGGGGGTCGCGCTCTGGGAGTACTGAGGCCGCGGCCGCATTAAACGCGTCTGTCCCGCAGCTGCTGCTCCTGGGCTTGGCGCCGCTCGGGGCGGGGACCGTGCGCGGAGGGCCTTTTCGGGGTTCGCTGCGGTCCCTCCCTGGCCCCGGCCCGCCCCCCCGTCGGGGGTCCCTGCCTGCCGTGGGCAGTTGCCCTCACACCTCCTGGACAACCTCCGCCCTGGGCTTCCTCTGGTCCCCTCGTCGCAGCTGCTGTCATGCCTCAGGACTCTGCTTCTTCCTGAGACTGAGAATCCCCCGCACCTCCCCTCGGCCGGACGGGGGTGGTGGGTGGCGGGGTCGGGGCAGCTTCGAGAAGCCTGGTTTCAGGCCCCGGGTTAGAGCCTGTGGACTCAGCGTGTCCCCACATCACTGCTTCTCTCCCCCAGGGATAAGTGTTAGGGAGACCTGGGAACATCTGATGGAGAAGCCACGCCCGTCCCCAAATCCACGTCCCAAGCAGGGCTGGGAATGCACTTACTCGGGGAGCCACAGGTTCCCCCAGCTGTCTCCTCAAGCCAGCTGGCACCCAGAAACTCCCACCGCAAGGACTCCCACTAGGCAGCACTTCACCCATGCTGGGGGCAGGGCCTCAGATCTTGAGGCCCTGGGGCAGGTGGGGTTGGGGGATGAGGTGGGAGGCAGCCTGAGCCTAAGCCTAGAGTCCAGAGGTGGGCGAGGCCACCCCTGCCCACGCCCATGCCCCTTCCCAGACCCTGGGCAGCCCCTGCCCTTGCATGCTACTCGGGGGAGGTGAGGCCTAGTGAGGGGTGAGTCCCGGTAGAGTGAGCCAAGTAGAGGGTCAGCTGAGGCAGCAGGGAGAGAGTGTAGATTGACTTCTGGGGAGATGGGGATGGGAGATAGGGGCCAAAATGCGTCCTGGGGTGGAGGGGACCAGCTGGGAAGGCAGCCCCCTTGCCTTAGGGGCAAAGAAGAGCCAGCAGTGGTCCTTTTCCGGACCAGGGTCATGTGGGCAGGGCAGGTTAAGCCTTGGAGGACCAGATCCCAGGAGCCTGAGTGGGCAAGGAGGAGCAGGTGGCCCCATGGTCTGCAGTGTCCCGTGGTGGTGGCCAAGCCTGAGACAGATGGAGGCATCAGAAACCACAGTGGCTGGAGCCTGTCCCCTCCAATCTCCTCACTCCACGGGGCCTGGAGGAGAGGGTCTCTCTGCACTGCCACGACAGACCATACTCTGACACTCGCTGGAGCCCCGCATCCATACCCTGCAGCCGGGGATGGAGGCAGGAGGCAGGGGCCGGCCTGAAGAGGACCTGGGAGTCCTCAGGCTGGGGTGGGGAGAGACCTGCTGAGGCCAAGGTGGGTGGATACTCGGTGCAGGTATTCTCCAGGCAGGTGTCTATAGTGGAGAGGAGCTATTCTCACCCCATTCACAGGCTGGGCCAAGGCACCATGAAGCCTCAATGTCATGCCAGAACCTGGGCGGGAGCAGGTGGCCAAGGCTGGAAAGGCGGAGGGCCAGCACACCCTGAGCTGTGTCCAAGCCTTTGCCGGAGCCCCTCCTCAGCCAGCCGGTTGCCCACCTCCCAGGGAAGGGCCTGACACAGAGCAGCATCTGCTCCTGATGCCAAGGCCTCCCCTGCACTCTTTGGAGCAGGTGGCCAAGGCTGGAAAGGCGGAGGGCCAGCACACCCTGAGCTGTGTCCAAGCCTCTGCCGGAGCCCCTCCTCAGCCAGCCGGTTGCCCACCTCCCAGGGAAGGGCCTGACACAGAGTAGCATCTGCTCCTGATGCCAAGGCCTCCCCTGCACTCTTATCGTGTCTGGCGCTGCCAGTGGGTTTCCTGTGGACAGCCCAGTGCAGGGCCCGCTGTCCTGTGGTCTGTTTTCTGTTTGTCCCACCTCTCCTGCTGTCAAATTTCTACTTCACTTCACATTCTCTCTGGGATTGAGTATGCATCTGCAGTTCTTCCGGAGACTACCATGTGCACCCCTGACCTAAGACTGTCTGCTCTGGATCACCATCCCGCGTCTGCACATGCAGGCCTCCGGCCAGCAGGCAGGAACAGCCATCTCTCGCTCTACTGCTGCTCCTGTGTAACTAGAAACAGGCCGGCACGGGTGCCTCCAAAGCACCCTGGAGGACACCCCAACAGAGAGCCAGGCACTACACAGTGGGAAGCCTCTGCTGGCTCTTGGAGCGCCCAGGGTGCGACCTCCTTCTGGTGTCTGCCTTTCCACATGCCAAGCTGGTGACCCCCGATCCCCTGCATAGCTGAGGTTGGACAGCATCGCTGTTCTGGGCAGAAGGGCAGGCAGAGCCCCTTGGGACATCTCTTCCAGCTTCTGGGCTCTTGCAACCTGCTGGCATCTGGCTGGGCCTAGGTAGGTGAGCCCTGCAGGCAACCCAGATATATCAGCTCTGAGATCCATGTGGCCTGTGATGGCGAGAGGAAGGGAATTGGGGCAGGGCCTGGGAACACTGAGAGGCACCAAGTCTGAGGCACAGCAGCCAGCACAACCCGAGACATATCACCCCTCTCCAGGGTAGGCCCGTGTGCGCTCCTCTGCCCATTCATAAAGGGCTGTCTGTTCCAGAGCCTCCGGGGGCTGAGCTGGCCACTGCATCCCCCTGTAATACTCAGAACAAGGGCAGGAGCACAGGGCAGTGGTTGGAGCTGGAGGCTCTCACGTGGGGAGGGAGCAGGGTGGCCCTGGAAACAACTATGGACAGGCTGCTAAGGAGTGCAGGCCCCTCCCAGGCCAGCAGAGGCCCGAAGTGAGCCCTGGGGAAGGTGGCGCTCCTAATGAGATGGCAGCCCTTGCTAAAAGGGCCGGGTGTGGAGGAGACTCCAAAGGGTCTTATGAAGCTGAGCCCACCCCACTTCCTGTCTTCCCTCCCTGGAGACCCCTCTCTCCCCTGGGATGGGGGAGCTCTGAGAGGGAGACATACCCCAACTTGGAGCGCTCTGCTGGCCCCTCTCCCTCAATGGAAGTGGACATGAGGGTGGGGACCAGCTCGCACAGGACAGACCCTCAAGTCCTGAACAGTCAGGGCAGCCCCTGTTGGTGGTAACTGGGCACTGCAGGGGAGGGTCTTCCTTGGGGTGTCACCCACTGCTGGGCATTCCCTGCTGGCCACAGGGCCTACGAGAATCTGGTGGGGCTCAACACCCAGAGGAGCAGTGGCTCTGGCGGGAGCCCCGAGGGGACCAGGAGAGTATGGGCAAGGCTGAGCAAGGGTGGACGTGAGTAAAGACACCAGCTGAGGCCTGAAACTCCACAGAAAAAGGTTGTCTGTGACAGCAAAGCAGTACCTCCCAGCCGCGGCAACGTGCTCACCGCGGACGGCACTTCCGGCAGGAGTGGGCGCAGAGCACTGCATCGGGGTCCAGGAGGACAGTCACCACCCTCCCCAGAGTGAAAACACCAGCACCAAGAGCTGGGCTGCTGCCCAGGCTAAGGGAAGAGGCTGGGGGATGGGGACAAAGGGCTCCCTGGGCCTCTGCACCACCCTGAGTGACCCTGAGAACTGCACAGGGCTGGATGCAGTCCCGGCTGCCAGGACCTCAAGCGCTTTGGCCACGGCCACCTTCTTTGGGCTAGCACAAAGCCACTGGCACTTGCAGGGACCCCCTTCATGGTCCTTGTGCTTTGGTGGTTGGGAATGTCCACCCACCTGGTGACCCCAGAGTGGGCAGCTGGGCAGGTGTGGACGGTGCTGCCTGGCAGGGTGGCAGGAGCCGTGAGAGCAACACAGCCACACTCCCACCCAAGTCTCAGCCCCGGAAACCCTGTTTCTCCCTCGCCACCTGTCGGGGCCCTAGCATGTCAGTGGAGGGACGCTGCGATGTGGCTCCGACGGTTTGGGCAGAAAGACTGCTCAGCAGTGACGAGACAGAGGATGCAGCAGCTGCTGGGCACGAGGGCAGGAGTGATGAGGACGGAGGACACGCAGCCAAGGCCAGGGTGGAGGACGGACAACGGAGAGCCCAATGGGGCCCAGAAGCTCTCTCGGTTTCTCCGAGAAGACCCTGTGTCACGTTCCACTTCCCTTGGGCACTCGCTTGTGCCTTCTCCTCCACGGTGGCCAAACCCGCCTTCCCTGACCTTCCACGGCTCTAGCCAGGCCAGCGTGTGCCTCCTGAGTCCAGTGCCGGGAAAGGAGCCTTTCGCGTTCCAGGTTTTTCTCTGTAAAACCACGAAGGCACTGTGGGTGTCAGAGAGGGCCGGAGGAAGTGAGGAGGGAGGCCCCGGTCACAGCAGGACGAGGCTGGGGCTGCGCAGCTGCCCGTACACCTGCAGGAGCCTCTGGGCAGTGGCAGAGGAGCTGGCTTCGTCCTCCGTGCACAGCCGGTCACGCAGGGTCTGCACCTCCTGCAGCAGCATCTGCAGGCAGGGCAACCACAGCTCAGGTCCCGCGGGTCTCTCTGGGACGCACGACGTGCAAATCCGTCCTTAGGGTGGTGGGTGCCTCAAGAAAAAACACTCATCTGTGACCTTACGGGCCAAGGAGACTGTGCCCTCCAGCTGGAACTGGCAGGACAAGGGAAGCAGGGGGCAGACCTGACTGCTCCAACCTGGCCCCCTACCCTGGGAGGACTCCGCAGGCCCTGCTAGGCTGGTACCACCCAAGCACGTATGTGTCTCCAGAGGGGTCTGGCTGGGGACACTGCTTGTACCCAGGTGGGTGGGGGCTGCACGGGGCACTGGGCACCTCACCTCGTGGTTGGCGTGGATCTGGCGGAGATACTGCACTCGGAGGTCAGGTGGGCTGGAGCGCTGGGCAGCCTGCGCCATGACCATCATCTGGGGGACACAGGGGGGGCACGCTGGATGGGGGCACTTCCCCCACCTGTTCCTGGAGGCTGGCCGGGCCTCGGCACCTGTCCTCTCCCTTTTGCTGTCTCCCACGCTCCAAAACCCTCCATCTCGTCTCCCACCTCGCTGTCTGCTCCATTTACTCTGTCCCACTGTCCCGTGGTCTCTTCCAGGACCCCTTCTTCACTCCTTGCAGAGCAGCGGAACACATGAGCCCAGCTGTGAGCTGCTCAGCAATGAATTCCTGCTGGTTCTCTCCTCTCTCCCCTTGTCCCTCCTGGCCCCCCAACCTGGCCCATGTGCTAATCACTCAGCAGGGACCACCCCCACTTTCTGAAGCAAGCTCAACTTGCTCCCCAGGCTCAGATGTGAATTCTCAGACAGGTCTAGACAGTGAGACCCCCGATGGCCTCTTCAGGGGCTACCAATGATCCCCTGAGGTAAAGTGACTTGAGAAGAGATCCTGACACTCCAGGGACAGCTGCCCACAATAGACGCTGCACATCCCAGCAGCACCCTGAGATGCTGAGCTGCGGTCAGTGCTGGTGTCAGAACACCTCCGCAGCACAGGCTGTGGCGTCCTGCTGTCAGAGGACAGAAAGACTCGTCAAGGGAGCACATGCAAGCAGCTCCCTGCCACAGGCCAGCCTGCATCCCTTCAAACTCATACACAGACTGAGAGCTAACCCCAGTAGCTCAGAATGTGCCCATACCTGGAAATGGGGTCTCTGCAGATGACCAAATTAAGATGTCATGAGGATGGACCCTTACCCCGTACAATGGGTGTCCTCACCAGAAACCAGAAGCTAGATCTGTGCTCTCAGCAGGGGATGGGGATGTTCTTGAGGCTGGGTTCCCAGTGGGCAGAGCCTCCTCTGACAGGCAGCACCACTGCCCTGGAGACCACCCCCAGCTCAAAGCGCTCAGGACTAGACTCCTGAGCCTAGGCATGAAGCTACGTGCTGCACTATGGCCAGCCCTGCCATGGCACCACAAGAGGTAACCTTTGGGGTCACAGTGAGGTCATGGCTATAGGTGAAAAGATCAGGGTCCTGAGGGTCGGGGGGAGGCATAAAATGATCTCTGGGGTCCTGGTGCGGTCACAGCACTGTGGGATCTGACCACCAGGGTGGACCATCTGAGCTCTTGTGAGGTGCTTGCCCACCCACATGGGCCGGGCAGGGCCTAGGATCATGGTGTGTCTCGGTGCACTGGCGGGTTCCAGCAGCAGTGGCAGTCAGAGCCTTGCTGGCCTCGGGAAGGCTCATTGAGGCTCAGCTTGCAAACTAGGGAGTGCGCTCTGGTGAGTTCCCTGGGGAGGCTGCCGCAGGGCCGCACTGGAACAGCCTTCACAACAGGTTTATAGTCGCCACTGCAGACCCCTCCTTGAGGGCCAAGGCCACTCCACAGCCTGAACAGGCAGGTGGTGATGGTGCCACCCTGCTGAGGGCACCATGTAGACTTTCATTACAGTTGCAGGGAGATGCTTCTCAGCACTGGAAGTAATCGGCCAGGCTGGCGCCGGCACCAGGAACCCCGAGTGCTGCAAGTGGCAGTGGCTACTGTCTGCTCTCTTGGCAAGAACGTGCAGCTCAGGGAGAGGAGACAGCTTATCCTGGGTCCATACCCAGGACACGGCCTCTCACGCAGCCTCTGCTCAGCCAGGAGAAGCGAGGAAGCTGCAGGCTGACCTCACAGGTAACAAATGGAAACCTCCTGGTCACGTGGGCTCAGGCAGTCCTTGGACTTGAGGATGCCCGCAGAGAGGATCAAGGGGACCCCCAGGGGGCAGCTCACCCACATGCCTCCCACTGCCCACAACTCACTTGCACAACATGGACTGGGTAGCAGAGATGGGGTGGGTTTTCCTGCCACCCCTTGAGGCTGCCCACAGTTGCTCAGTCCCATACCAGGAACTCACGAGCTGCCCACAACTCTCAGAGCCTCCTTCCCAGCCAGGTGCAGGTGACCGACGTACCTGCATCCGCCCAATGATGGCGTGGTGTGTCCTGCACATGTCGGCCAGAGATGAGCTCTCCACCTGGATCTCCACGGCCTGGAGGGGCCCTGCTAGGCACAAGTCAGTCACGGCCACCTGCAACACAGGGGGAGCCTCACTGACTGTCCCAAGGGTGGCTCTGACAATACAGGAGCTTCCCAAGCTGGCAGCAGTGAGGCCCTGGGGGCCCCAACTCCCTGCCTCAGACGGCTCCTCTACGCCCTGGTGGCACACAGGGATCTGTGCAAAAGGGCCCCCTCCAGGCTGGGTCTTTTCTCTGAAGAACGAGCCAGCCAATGAACAGCAAGAAATTTGCCCATTTGGAGACAGATGTGTCCAGAAAGACTCCTGTCCTTCAGAAGCCAGACCTATTGAATCCACTCCAGGGCCATGAGCCAGACTGGCATGTGCTCCAGAATGCAGCGACTGCTGTGATCACGCCTGGGTGGACTGGCTGCACATGAACCCTGCCCATGCCCTTGGAGGCCCCTGCAAAGCCATACCAGGCATCACGGATCACCTCAGACAGCAGGGTTAGGACTTCAAGTGTGAACACAGGGAGCCACTGGGCCTATCCATGGCCAACCAAGAGCCCTTCAGGAGGTTCTGACCGCACTGAGCTGGAGAACGAAGCCTGGCAAGGACAGACTGGGAGCCAGGAAGCCCTGGTTTGCTTTCTTTTTTTTTTTTTTTTTTTTTTTTTTTTTTTTTTTTTT